TTTATATATAAAGCGGTAACTTTGTGTGTCTGTTTGTGGGTCGGTTTGTGCGTCTTTCCGAAAGTCACTTAGGAACATGAAGAGTGTGAATGTCACGTGAGAGCGGTGAAGAAGCAGGTATGAAATGGAAAGCCAACCAATGCTGTTCGTATTGGTCCTCTAGCAAGTCGTAGGTAAGCGGCAGCGGGCATGTGGTGCACGCATTAGCGTGCGTAGCCCAACTGGTACAGCAAAATGTACAACTACAACCAGTTGCGTGCAAGGGTAAAGTAGTTTACTATGTATGTAGCTCACATTTCCGGTTTGTTTCATGGCTGTCAATGTGACAATGCTTTTTGGGAGAGTGGGGTTGTATTGGATCAATCACCTATAGAAAGCTCCCCTAATGAGATAATCAGCATTGCGTAGCTCTGCGAATTTTTTGGTAACGCTCTGGATAGTGTAGAAGGTCGTTCGAAATCCCCTCCGTGGAATTTAATTCTAATTAAAGCAGTACAGTAGAATCTATTAGGAATAATGCCGGTAAAAGAAGAATTGAGCTTCTGCAGCTCAAGTCAAAGGCTTCGCAAGTGTTGTCCTGATTAGGTAGGTCCTTAAAAATGAAATGCCGGGGTAAAAAGAAGGATGCGTAGAATCACCTGCTTGCCAAAGTGTATCTGCCGGCTGGTTGAGAAAACTACACTCTCACTACCTCTCAATCTTTAGATGCCACCAACAATCATATCAGCACTGTAGGCTGCCGGGGATTACTTCAGGACTGCGAATCACTACTTCTTTTCCTGCAAAAAAGGCACAAACTGCCAAAACGAAATAAGCTCTGGTTGTCTGTGAACCAATTGTGTGGTGGATGTACCGAACTGGTTCTCGGACCAACGGTAGCACAATACAACACGATCAGATTAACAACAGTTTATGATGAAAACGAACGCACACAGAATACGTGAGCAACGATTATGAAAAAAGAGTTCTTCGAGCCGACTGGGGCTCTTGGGGTGCCGAAGGGAGGGTGAGGAGAACCCGCCACTTGTGGGCCCCTACGCGAGTCGATTGACTTGCTCCTGAAGCCTTCCGGCCCACCTGGCTCGATGAGTTGGCTGATGTGTTAGAGTTCACATGCGATCTCTTGATCGGACACGCGCTCTCTTGATTGGGGGTATATCGTACCCAGACATCCCTCCCCCTTCGGGATGCCGACGTCCTCGGCGGCGTTTCCATTGCTGGCAGCTTTGCCGCCTGGGCACACATTCTTGTGCTCTCGTACAGGCTGACATGGAAGAATCTCCAATAAAATATAGCGATCATTAACAGCGGTTGGGTGGTGCACTGGTTGCACCTGTAGTAGTGTAGCGACATTGCTGCTCTGGACAGGCTGACATGGAGGAATCTCCAATAAAATATAGCGATCACCAACAGCGGTTGGGTGGTGCGCTGTTTGCACCTGCAGTGTAGCGACATTGCTGCTCTGCTCTGGCTGACTTGTAGGAAACGGTTTCGCGTGGGTATTATCATTATGCTGTTGACGCGACTACTGGATTTGTAAAGCAGCACCTTTGGCGCTCTGTTCTGCTTGATTCGGAAGAATCATTTGTAGAGCAGCACCTCCACCGCTCTGTTCTGGTTGGTTTGGAGGCACCTCCGATAAAATAGAGCGGTCATCATTAGCAGTTGGTTGGCGCTCTGGCTGCATCTGTAGTATAGCTGCATTGCTGTTCAGGTCTGACTGACATGGATGAATCTCCGATAAGATAGAGCGATCATTAATGGCGATTGGTTGGTGTGCTGGCTGCATCTGTAGTGCAGCGGCATTGCTGCTCTGGTCTGGCTGACATGGAGGAATCTTCGAAAAAGTAGAGCTATCACGTTCAGTAGCTGGTAACTGCGCTGACTGAATTTGTTGAGCAGCACCACTGCTGCTCTGCTCCGACTGGCTCGGAGGAATCGTCGATTTAGATTCATCTGAATTATCGGCTTCGGTATCTGAAGAAGGTGACAAAGAAATTTTGATGACTTTGGTAGGTTCATCAGTGGATTGTGGCGTTGCATCCACAATCGCTTTCATTTCCAATTCTGCGGCCTGGCTCTGTGGCGGACGAAGATGCAAATTTTTTAAATCGATGGCAAGTCTGCGAGCCAATACGTTAGGCACAGGTTGGGGAACATCATCATCGCCACCGCTCAAAAAGGCTGCAACCAATCTGCTTTGTTTCCCTTCTTGATACAGTTGTCCATACATCCTTTTAGCCATTGGTGTTTTGAATTTCTTCTCATTCTCACCTGAGGCCATTGTTTCAAGTTTTCCAGCACAATTTGGGCGTAGTCCATTGACCGGTCTTCAACTGTGCAGTCGGGGTACGCCTTTCTCCCAAGAGCTTCCAATACTACACAAAAATCAGCAACATTTTGCCCCGGTCGCAATTTCAGGTTTCGTAGATCAGCTAGTGCTCGCATTCTTGCCGCTGTGGATTCGCGCGCGAGGAGTCTGTCTAGCTCGTCGATGACTGCTTCAAATCCCTGATTCTTTATGCTTGATGGCATGGTTATGAAAAGACTCTTTGCATGGTTTCCCAAGTGGTCATCTCCTAATATTTCAATTAATGTGAATTCATCCCGGACTACGGGACAGTACTTCCTACGGAACCGTCTTACAAACTCTTTAAAGTTTTCGTTGTCTCTGCCTCGGAATATGGGTCTGGGCACGTAATTGCTGTAAAAATGTCATTAAATAGTTACTACTTGGTTCCAAATTCTCACCGGAAAGGTTCCTCGCCATTGATGGGTCTCCCCAGTCCTTGGAATGCTGACTCCAGCGTTGCTTGAAGGGCGAGTAACTCCTCGTGCTTTGCCGCTCCTGAGAAGCATTTCTTTGGTTTTGGTCGCCCTGTCCAAAGCGATTCAGTTCGGAAAAATAGCCTTCACCTTTCTCTTGGCTCAAATCCATCATATGGTGGTCATTTGCGCACATCGAATCGCTTTTGATCTTCAAATCTGCCACCTTTTGCTTAAGCTGAAAAACATCTGTGTTCAACATTTCACACAAATTCGCTAGTAAACTACCGTCACTCTCCATGGTAGTTGTGAACTCTCTCGACTCTTCTGCGGTCGTCACCCCCTCTCCTCTCAAAATTCTGCATAGATCGTCCCGCATTTTCTTCTCCCTATCATGATTAGCACTAAGGGTATGTATGCGGGAGCATGCCTCTTGAATCAGCTCATTTATGTCTGATTCAATCGGCTCTCTGTATTTACCTGATGTTCTTTGCTCATCCAAACCTTTGGCTAAACGCTCTGGTATGCTCTTCAAAACCTCAGTTATCTTATCCATTTCACCTTCAAGACTCACCGAAGTTGTCTTCATTTTCTTCGGTTCACCTGCCTTGGACGACTTTTCGTCTTCTGCTGCCATGTTTGCACTTTCTGCAACTCGAAAGTTTAGTTTTCTTCACTTTTCTTTTGCGCCTTTTATCGGCGAGCAACGGACACTTTGGCTCCTTCGTGAGCCGTGTCGATACAAGAACCAATCGATAATCCTTGTCTTTCAGCTTATAGAGCCGTTGGTTCGGCCCCCATGTGGTGGATGTACCAAACTGGTTCTCGGACCAACGGTAGCACAATACAACACGATCAGATTAACAACATTTTATGATAAAAACGAACGCACACAGAATACGTGAGCAACGGTTATGAAAAGAGTTCTTTGAGCCGACTGGGGCTCTTGGAGTGACGAAGGGAGGGTGAGTAGAACCGGCCACTTGTGGGCCCCGACGCGAGTTGACTGACTTGCTCCAGAAGCCTTCCGGCCCACCTGGCTCGATGAGTTGGCTGATGAGTTGGAGTTAACATGTGATCTCTTGATCGGACACGTGCTCTCTTGATTGGGGGCATATCGTACTCAGACAATTGCGTAAAGACGAAATAGCTGTTGTTTCAATGTATGTAGTTCATTCATATACTGTGTTTTTCTACTCAGAATGAGTAGAGTAACACAGCCTATAAATAAATTACATTATGTAGTAGGTACTCGTATTCGTCGTATTTGTCGAAGTATTGGCCAATATGATGCAATTTTCATTTGGCTGGCCTTTCGGCCAATCGCCTTCGCCAGAGCAGAATGAAATGTTATAAGTTCAGAAAAATTGGTATTAGCGTGAAAGCGCGCTGTCATCATGATTTTGGCCCACCCTAGAGAGAGGTCTTATAAAACCCAACGGGTAACCCACCTTAGATATCAGAAAGAAGTCCGTTGACATTTCTATTTTGAACGGCGTATTCAAACCGTTTCGCAATGTGTGACTCTGAATGTCCTCACCCCTGGCATGCCGGCGGTGGCATTTGAAAACCATACAGTTCGAAGAACGGGGCAAGCTTATTAGTTACAGCGAGACATCCATCTTTCCGATTTACATTGGGATTTTTTTCGCTGATCCAAAAATCTTCAAAAGTTTTTCGCGCCGAGGTCCTGGGCTCTCGCATCAAGGTATTGACTGATACTTCAAACTCTACGTCTCCTTGGCGATGCTTCCTTTCTGCCACTAGTGGACGATTGCTTTATTGCTTAAACCAGAAAGAAATGGACACATGTTTTGAATTGCTGAACAGCCAAGCTGACAATACACGATTTACACGAGAAAAGCACAAAGACAATTGGTTGCCTTCA